ATGAATTCAAGTGTTACCAGCAATTACAGGGTGGTCCTTCATTGGTTTGCATTTACCTAGTAACCAACAGCAGCTTTGATGTAAAAATAAAGGTTACCTCATTTTCTTCTGCAAAGTCAGTTATGCTACCCTCATCTGTCCATTTAATGGTGACATTATCAACAAATTTTTTTAGTGTCTGCTATGAACATGGTGCTTTGTTGGATACAAAGTAATATAGAGATATACAAATTAACACAGACACTCCAGGCATCAAGCAGAAGAACTAGGAAGTAGACATAAAAAGATAAATAACATGCCGTCCCCATGGCCGAGTGGTTAAGTTCGCATGCTCCGCTTCGATGGCCCAGGGTTTCGCTGGTTTGAATCCTGGGCACGGACATGACACCGCTCATCAGGTCATGCTGAGACAGCATCCCACATGCCACTTTTGGAAGGACCTACAATTAAACATACACAACCCTGTACTGGGGGGCTTTGGGGAGAAAAAGGAAAAATAAAATCTTTAAAAAAAAAAAACCTCCAGGGGGACTCCGTCATACGGGGACCCCACACTTTAAAAAAACAAAAAAGATAAATAACTCAAGGCAGCATGAGGGCCATGTGTGAACTCGGGAAATAGAATCCTTTCTGAGAGTAGGAGGGAAGGGTAGAGGCAGGAGTGGAGGATCAGAATGTGAGGGAGGAGGGCCCATAATATTGTCAGCCTGTCCAGGGCGAAAAAGAGAAGGGATTCTAGCCCCTAGTCATAGTATATATAGCAGCTCTTCTGTGGAAAATGGTGAGTTCTCGACATAAAGATAGGAAAAGTGCTCTAGGTCAGAATCTTCTGGACAATAGTTAAAGAGGCTCCAAACCCAGGATGGGTAGGGGAGGAAGGGGAGGGGAGAACAGTTAGGACTAGAACCTCCCTTAAGTCCCTATCTGATTAGTAACCCAGAAAACAAGGGGTGCTAATGGTCTGTTCAGTTCTTTCTGAAGCCCAGAGAGTCCTTGGTCACTTTGATTTTTGAGATCACGGGTGTATCTAAAAAGATGAAGAAATAGCAAAACAGAGATATAAAATTGTTGTATATTTTAAGTGTTTATATTGAACAAAGCCATGCTTTTAACACATAATTATGACTATTTATTTAATGTCGTTCAGCAGTACCTTCAAAGTTTAATTATTTATTTATTTATTTTGTGAGGAAGATTGGCCCTGAGCTAACATCTGTACCAGTCTTCCTCTATTTTATATGGGATGCTGCCACAGCATGGCTTGGCGAATGGTGCTAGGTCCACACCCAGGATCCAAACCTGTGAACCCCGGGCCACTGAAGTGGAACGCACAAACTTAACCACTATACCACTGGGCTGGCCCCCTTCAAAAGTTTAAATTGGAGGTTTCTGTGAATGTGCCTTCTCTACCCTAAGCAACTACACCTTAATCTTTGGGCCTATCAAAAAGTATTGAGGTGACTTAGACCCTTAAAAAAGGTGGAATAGGGGCCAACCTGGTGGCACAGTGGTGAAGTTCATATGTTCTGCTTCAGCAGCCTGGGGTTCAATGGTTTGGATCCTAGGTGTGGACCTATGTCCCGCTTATCAAGCCATGCTGTGACAGGCGTCCCACATATAAAATAGAGGAAGACTGGCATGGATGTTAGCTCAGGGCCAGTCTTCCTCAGCTAAAAGAGAGGATTGGTGGCAGATGTTAGCTCAGGGCTAATCTTCCTCAAAAAAAAAAGTAGAGTAACTTCGTATCCTCTGTACTCTAAGACTTGAAAAAAACACAACTTAATACTTGTCCTAACTGGACATATGGTTGTAATATAAGCCAAAAAAACAGAGGACAGGTTTAAAATGGTATGAAGAGCATTATGTTATTTGTGTAACATATATCTTTTTATGTATGTGTGTATATACTTATAATGTCTATAAAGAGATACATCAAAGTGTTAATGATGGTTATCTCTGGAAGGAAGGATTAGGTTAAATTTTTTTCTTTTATTCTTTATACTTTCCAGTCTTTCTAAAAATTGTTATAATGCAAATGTACCTTAATAGTTGAAAAACAAAGTGTAGTAACTTAATGAGAAAGAATTTGCAATAAAAACCTTGCTAGCTAGTCAGTTCCCAGAGGAATAATTGCTACTCCATAGAAACAGTGTTTTATCACATTGAGTCTCTAACTTAGTCTGTCATGGTGACGGGAGAATCGTGCCATGCTGTGAAGTGATCTGCAGACTAATGTTCACATCCCAAAGTCCACATGGGAGTTCTCCCTTCCCTTCTGCTCTTTCTCTTATCTCTTAGTTTTCAGAGATCCCTGGTGGCACAAGGGTATGGGATTCAAAATGGTTGACTGACTAGGCAGTCAGAAAATCCTCAGAGGGACCTTGCTTTGTCAGGGGAAATAAGTGGTCCCCAATGCAAAATAAACAATTTTGATTCCGTCAGTGAATTTCTGTAAAGAAAGTCGCTATAAATGTGACCCAAATTATACTCTTGCAGAAGATTAATGAGTGTAGACTTTGCCACAGATTTATCTTCTGGGAAATCTCATGTTTCTGGATTAAAGGACATTCTGTGGTGGATGAGGCTGGAATGGTGGGGGTGAATGTAGGCATCAGTCCTAGATCAAGAGCTTCTAAGTATAGAAGGCTTTTAATCCTTCTCCCTAGGGGTCTTGGAAAGGAGCAGTCTTTTTTTTTTTTCTCTATTTCATGGTCAGACTGAGCCATAGATGGCAGGATGAACTGGCGGCGATGTTGTGAATAGTGGCGGGGTGCAAATAATATACTCACTTATCCCAGTGGCGGCCCCAGTGCTCTGTCTTTCCACCTACTCTATTTTCAAAGCTCCATGGAACCTTAGGGCACCTTGAAGATTCCAGGGCTTCCTTGAAAACTGTTGTCATCCATGCTTTGTATCTGTTCCGTCTCTTCCAGGCTCAGGTTGAATTATTTTTTTTAATTGAGGTAACATTGGCTTATAACAGTATATAAATTTCAGGTGTACATCTTTATATTTCAACTTCTGTGTAAATTACATCATGTTCACCACCCAAAGACTACCATCCATCACCATACACATGTGCCCAGTCACCCCTTTCGTCCTCCTCCCTTGCCGCTTCCTCTCTGAAAACCACCGATCTAATCTCTGTATCTATGTGTTTGTTTATTGTTGTTTTTATCTTCTATTTATGAGAGAGATCATATGGTGTTTGACTTTCTCTCTCTAACTTATTTCACTTATTTCACCTCAGGGTCCATCCGTGTTGTCACAAATGGCAAGATTTCACCTTTTTATGGCTTAGTAGTAGTCCATTGTGTGTATACACCACATCTTCTTTATCCATTTGTCCCCTGATGAACACCTAGGTTGTTTCCAAGTCTTAGCTATTGTGAATAATGCTGCAGTGAACATAGGGGTGCATATATCTTTACACATTTCATGTTTTCTTTTTTTTCTTTTTATTTATTTGTTTTTTATTTTTTTGAGGAAGATTAGCCCTGAGCTAACATCTGCTGCCAATCCTCCTCTTTTTGCTGAGGAAGACTGGCCCTGAGCTAACATCTGTGCCCATCTTCCTGTGCTTTATATGTGGGACGCCTACCAGAGCATGGCATGCCAAGCGGTGCCATGTCCGCACCCGGGATCTGAACCAGTGAACCCTGGGCTGCCAAAGCGGAATGTGCGCACTTAACTGCTGCGCCACCGGGCCAGCCCCTGCACATTGATGTTTTCATGCTCTTTGGATAAATACCCAGCTGTGGGAGAGCTGGATCGTAGTGTAGTTCTATTCTTAATCTTTTGAGGAATCTCCATACTTGTTTTCCATAGTGACTGTACCAGTTTGCATTCCCACCAGCAGTGTATGAAGGTTCCCTTTTCTCCGCATCCTTTCCAACACTTGTTATTTCTTGTCTTGTTAATTATAGTCATTCTGATGGGTGTGAGGTGATATCTCATTGTAGTTTTGACTTGCATTTCCCTAATAATTAGTGATATTGAACATTTTTTCATGTGCCTGTTGGCCATCTGTATGTCTTCTTTGGAAAAATGTTCAGATCTTTTGCCCATTTTTTAATTGGGTTGTTTTGTTGTTGTTGTTGAGATGTATGAGTTCTTTATGTATTTTGGATATTAACCCCTTATCAGATATATGGTTTGAAAATATCTTCTCCCAATTGTTAGGTTGTCTTTTCATTTTGTTGATGGTTTCCTTTGCTGTGCAGAGGCTTTTTAGTTTGATGTAGTCCCATTTGTTTATTTTTTCTATTGTTTCCCTTGCCTGGTCAGATATGGTATTTAAAAATATGCTGCTAAGACCAGTGTCAAAGGGTGTACTGCCTATGTTTTCTTCCAGAAGTTTTATGGTTTCAGGTCTTACATTCAAGCCTTTAATCCACTTTGAGTTAATTTTTGTGTATGCCGTAAGATAATGGTCTACTTTCATTCTTTTGCATGTGGCTGTCCAGTTTTCCCAACACCATTTATTGAAGAGACTTTCCTTTCTTCATTGTATGTTCTTGACTGCTTTGTTGACGATTGGCTCTCCATAGATGTGTGGTTTTATTTCTGGGCTCTCTATTCTGTTCCACTGATCTGTGTGTCTGTGTTTGTGCCAGTACCATGCTGTTTTGATTACGATAGCTTTGCAGCATATTTTGAAATCAGTGAGATACCTCCAGCTTTGTTCTTTTTTCTCAGGATGCCTTTGGCTATTCAGGGTGTTTTGTTGTTCCATATAAATTTTAGGGTTCTTTCTTCTATTTCTCTGAAAAATGTTATCAGAACTTTGATAGGGATTGCATTGAATCTGTAGATTGCTTTAGGAAGTATGGACATTTTAACTATATTAATTCTTCCAGTCCAATCCAAGAGCATCATTCCATTTCTTTCTCTCTCCTTCAATTTCTTTCAATATATTTTATTTTTCAACTATCTTTTATAGTTTTCAATGTACAGGTCTTCCACCTCTTTGCTTAAATTTATTCCTAGGTATTTTATTGTATTTTGTTCTTTTTGTTACAATTATAAATGGGATTGTATTCTTAATTTCTCTTTCTGCTACTTCATTGTTAGTCAGCCTGAATTTTAAATCAGGGCTTAGGGTGAGATATTTTCCCCTGTTGGTATAGTTTTGAGAATCACTTTTTTGGACAGTACTTGAAGTGAAAGAAAGAAGGATACAATTAAATATATGGTTTTTACCAGAGAACTACAAAAATAGAATTACTTAGAAACAGGCACATTTCGCCAAAATGAAATGGAATGATTTCAGACTTTTATGAAAAGAAGCAGGACTACACTCTGTCTTATCCCCTTGCTGTTCCCTTTTTTACCTAAATGCTACTTTAAGATCAGCTGTTTCCACTTTCTCACCAAACTCTTACCTAGGCAGGTCAGACTTGGCTCATAGCTTTGCCTCTGTGAGAAAGATCATCATAATCATTTGGCCCTGGAATCCTTGTTCAAAATGTATGCAGATCACTATTGCAGTAGGGTATCATGTCAGACCCACTTTAGGGGTTGTAGATTATCAGGAGATCTCATCTGGGTCCTATTTGTATGCAGTCCCTAAGCCCCTTGGGGATGACTTAGGAGGAGGACTTTGGGAATGCTTAGGGTCGTGCTCCCTTCACCAATGTGTGGGTAGCTCCATGTGGTGGCAGAGGCTAAATGATAAAACCCTATGAATGTCAACCTGAGAAAACAGGAACCCCACCCTAAGCCAGTTGAGAGCCAGTGAGTGTGAAATCAGCTCTGAGGATAGCAGAGGAGTTGGCGAACTGTGCCACACTCGTGGCTGCTTTGCCCAGTTCCTTGGAGGCTGTGTTTAAACCTTTTGTCAAAGAGAGCAGTAGGTCCATTCATAGTCTTAGAGGGAAGACCTTTTGTTTTCATTTGATGGGATGAAAAGATATTCATTTTTTGTGGATGTACAAAGTGAGTCTCAGAGGTTTATGGCTAAGCCAGTAGCAGGGTCATGAGGGTAATCTGACTGATAAGCCTGGGCTCCTCCATTGGCCTCGCATCACTGTTTGATTGTAATGTCCCTGCTGAAGATAGAGGGTAAAATTGGCAAGATTCTGCCCATATTGGTTAACAGCAGGGAGAAGACAGTGTGGTGTCCTTCATTCACTGTGTGAGGCAGAGCAGAACTTTTCACAAGTATGTCTGGTGGATAAAAGTGATCCCTGCAGCTTTCTTTGGACTTGATGAGTTGGGAGCATCTTGTCCAACCTAGAGATTGAAAGGAAATATCAAAGATAAAGAAGGATACAAATGGATATTTCTTCCTGTACCAATAAAGAAGTAGCTTAGTACAAAACCTCATATAATTCCAAATACACATCATTTTGCTTCTTTATTGGCCAATAATTCTAGGAAAAGTTACTGTGCTTACACTGGGAAAGTATCAGCAAAGTGCACTTATGTATGAGAACCTACAATTGATTGGACCCTATGACCCACTTGTAAAGGCCCATCTGCCCCTTGCTTGACCTCTTTGCCTTGAGTGGAAAAGCCCTGGGGATGCAGCTGCTTTGGATCCCAGATGACAGGGATTCTTCTTCATTCCTTGAATCAGGCCCAAACAATCTCACTATGTTTGAAAAGAGGCAGAGATCTGAGTCTATGTGGACCAAATATTTTTTACTAATTGCAGTCCATTCTCACTACACTTGACTCCATGCCCCATCTGATTTTGTATATACTTCCTAAATGCTTAACTATTTTGGACATAGACTGTAAACCTCTTGAAGGCAGGGAACTTAGCACACAGAAGACTTTCAGTAAAATTTTGTGGAATAGGTGAATGAGACAATAAATCCAGTATGGGAATTAAAAGACCTGGATTTTATTTTTGTTCTGTTTCAACCAGCTGTGTGACCTTGGGAAAGTCACATATCCTTTCTAAGCCTCAGTTTAAGTATCAATAAAATGTAGATACTTGCCCAGCTAACTCCCAAGGTTTTTGTGAAACTCAAGTGTGGTAAGGTGTATAAAATTGCTTATTATTTTTATTAATTCTTGTATCATTTAGTAGCTAATTTTGTTCATGGGAGAAATTCAATCAGAGTTGCTGCTACAGGGTTACCTCTAATTCTGGACTAGACTTTTTAGTCCCCTTTAGGCCTATTTCTTCCAACGTTCTGTAGAAATGCTAATGTAGATTGGAGTAAAGAACTAAAAATAACCATATGGTAAAATCATACTAATTTACATGGGCTCATCACCCAATCTTAGCAGAAATAAGGTTGTAGAAAATATTAACGTGGACCAGAGAGATGACAAGTAAGTTGGCATTGGGTACCTGAAGCACTGTGATAAGAAAGATTCCAGTGCCATGCCTGGGTGGAAAGAGTACTGTGCTTGATTTTTATTTTTATTTATTTATTTATTTATTTTTTAAGATTGGCACCTGAGCTGACAACTCTTGCCAATCTTCTTCTTTTTTTTCTGCTTTTTCTCCCCGAATCCCCCCCAGTACATAGTTGTATATTTTAGTTGTGGGTCCTTCTAGTTGTGGCATGTGATATTTTTTTTTAAATTGAGATATAATTTACATATAACACTGTGTAAATTTAAGGTCTACAGCATATTGATTTGATACATTTATATGTTGCCATATGAATACTACCATAGCTTTAGCCAACACCTCTGTCAGCTCATATAATTATCTTTCCTTTTGTGGTGAGAACATTTAAGATCTAGTTTCTTAGCAATTTTGAGGTAAATAATACAGTATTATTGACTACAATCACTATGCTGTGCATTAGATCTCCAGAACTTTTTCATCTTCTACTTGCATTGTGCTTGATTATTGATATGTGCAGTCGATATAGAATTGAAGAATGGCAGCATGTGTACCATCCTGGACTAGATAACCTTTGAGACCCATTCTCAGTGCTGTAGTTCTGTAGAAGTGCACACCTTCTTTAATTTTAAAAGTATTGGAGACCTTGTCTCTTTGCCCTAGTGAATACTCTAGATGTTGTAGCAAAGGCACCCTTCCATTTCTAATATTCAAAGGCTGCATCCACTTCTGATGGGGAAACTGGATTTAAAGCAGCAGTTCTCAACCAGTGGTGTGGTGTCTGTTTGAGACACCAAAGAGCAATAGGAACTTATAATCCTGTCAGGAAACCCAAGAGCGGGGAGGAAAGAAGCTGCTTTGCCAAGTGTTCAAACTGTATTCAAGTGTGGTGGTTCCTAAACTTTGTTGTATGTAAGAGTTACTTAGGGGCAGGGATGGATGCATATGCTGTGGGATCTGAGTTCTTACAATTTTCGGGAACTTTTTTTGGGGAAAAAGAATACAAATTGTAAAAAGAATTGGGGGCCAGTGGCATAGTGGTTAAGTTCACATGCTCTGCTTTGGCGGCCCAGGGTTCACAGGTTTGGATTCTGGGCGTGGACTTATGCACTGCTCATCAAGCCATGCTGTGGCGGCATCCCACATACAAAATAGAGGGAGATTGCCACAGATGTTTGCTCAGTGATGATCTTCCTCAAGCAAAAAGAGGAAGATTGGCAACAGATGTTAGCTCAGAGCCAATTTTCCTCACCAAAAAAACAAACAAAAGCCTCCCCCAAAAACAAGATAAAATTGGATGCAAGGCCTTGTACAGGTCCCATGAGTCCTGAAGTTTAAGCTTCATTAATTTCATAGTAAATCCACTTCTACTTAGGAAGCTTCTTAAAAAAATCTTAAAAATCACATTCCTAGATATTCTGATTCATTATATCTGGGGCCCAGAAATACATGTTTTCAATAAGTGCCCTACTGTGTTATGGTTGCGCTGATGTTAAGAAAATAGTAGTACATGGCTGGCCCGGTGGCATAGTGGTTAAGTATGCACGTTCTTCTTCAGTGGCCTGGGGTTCGCCAGTTCAGATCCCGGGTGCGGACATGGCACCACTTGGCACACCATGCTGTGGTAGGCATCCCACATATAAAGTAGAGGAAGATGGGCATGATGTTAGCTCAGGGCCAGCCTTCCTCAGCAAAAAGAGGAGGATTGGCAGCAGTTAGCTCAGGGCTAATCTTCCTCAAAAAGAAAAAAAAAGAAGAAGAAGAAAATAGTAGTACAGATACCTACCTATTTCCTGACACATAAAAGAATTACCCAAATTTGCTCCATAACTGAAGCAGCAACCTGTCTCCCAGCACTTACATATTAACCCCATTTTCTCCAAGCAAATGACATAAACTCTACAGAGAACGCTTTCCTTCTTGGGCTGAGAGTCAAGCTGGGATTCACCTCCCCCAGGTTGCTGGTCTTCTTTCCTTTGCCTTCTCCACAACTGCTGGCATTGGCATAGCTCTCTGGCTCCCAGGCATTGACTGTGAAGGGAGAAAATAACTAGTATTAACTTCAGGTGGCTGGTATGCATTTGATTATCTTCCAAACCTCATGTCAGACTGTTTAAAAGAAAATCATCTGTTCTGAAGGAAATCTTCAGTCCTGTTGGATCTATCCTCCCTAGAGAATGTCCAAGCAGAGCATAGGAAAGGAACTCGCATTTAGCAAGCACCTCCTATATGCCAGGCACCTCTCACAGAGGATCTTAATTAACCTTCAAAAACACCATGAGAGGAAAATATCATTAGTCCCATTTTACAGATAAGGCGACTGAGGTTGGAGAAGTCAAGCAACTTTGTCAAAGCCACTTGGCTAGTGAGTGTGAGTGGCAGGTCTATCCAAACCCCAAAGTCTTTGCTTTTCTCATTGTGCCAGCCTGCCTCTGGAACAGAAGGAGATCTTTATAGATCAAGTCCAAGGACCCAGTACATCAGCAAACTACAGGGCATGGGACTTCAAAAATGACAAATATTGTAATGGTGACTCTACTGAGCAGTAAGGTGACAGCAATCAGAAATTTGATCACAGTGCTTCATTTCTGCCTCTCCTCTAGATTCTCATCTCTGTCTAAAAGGAGGGAGAAAAGTAGAAGAGAAAGAAGAGAGAATTTGAGAGAGGGGAGAGATCAGTCCTTTGACTTGAAGGTTTCTTGGCTTCCGTGCCTCATGGAGCCCCGCCTGATTCCGAGACAGAGCAGCCAGAGAATCCAGTTCAGATTCAGAGTCAGGAGTGGGGTAGGCATCAAGGGCTCTGTTCTAACCTCCTTTGCAGCCTCTTCCCACTGAGTCATTTTCCCTGGGGTTTGGCATCTTCCATGATCAAGTAGGACTGATTGTACTGCCCTGAGGGGAGAAAATGGGCTGGGTGTGCACAAGGAGTTCTAAATGTGTCTTTTACCAGTAGCCCTCTCAGGGTCTCTACCCTTGTGCTCTGACAGACACACTGTATGGGGTGAGGAAGTCACCTTTCCTATACTCCTGTTGGCTTTAGTGGGACATAGGAGGAACAAAGGTGAATTGACATTGCTTTTAGGTCATGAGCCAAATATGGGGACAAATGGCTCGTCTGCATCTTATTACTAATCTCGTATTTACCTTCCTTCTGTTGGAACTGGAATGTAACCCAAACTGGAATTTTATAGAATTTGAGTCCTGGCCAGTTTAAGGAGGGCTATTTCTGAAAACAGTGCAGATGAAACCATACACTTGGTTGTTGTCATCTCTGTAATGATTGCTTAGTGTTTAAATGTCGTCTGTCTATACATGCTATGGCTGGAATTCCCTACGAATACAATTTATTCTGTCCCAAAATCTGGCTACAAGGTGAGCTCACTTGTGTAGAGGTAAAGTATTATTAATAGTGTCAAACTACAAACATTTCTCGGACCTTCTTTTATAGAGAAGCTGATTTTTTCAATAAGAAATGAAGTTATTTTCCTTCTGTTCTTGTCTCACCCCCTACTTATTCTGTACCTTGTTGTTTGAAAGGGCTAGAAAAATCAGTGCTTGTAGTTTTCTCTCCTTCTTTACTCCCAGGAGTCATGGAGGTGGTAATGGTGGGAAAAGTCTGTAATAAAGCCCCCATCACTAGATAGACCTTACATTGGAAGATGCCTGGTAAAAAAGCTATAAAACAAGAAAGAAGCAATTAAAGGACAACTGAGAAAACTTTATCTTACCTGACAAAGGAAAAACTTTATTTTACCTGACAAAACTCTAGGCCTACCCAGCTGATATTAAACTTTTAATTGTGGTCCCATTGATCTGTCCATAAGTTTAGGGTGTAGGCACAACATAATGCCAAGAATAAATGAGAATAGAGATACTAATAAGAGATATGGATTAAATCCCCAGGGGGCCTTTGACTAAGTCAGATCAGAGTGAAGGAGTAGACTAAGTCTTGTTTACCTATCATTCTTTTTTTTTTTAAAGATTTTATTTTTCCTTTTTCTCCCCAAAGCCCCCCTGTATATAGTTGTGTATTTTTAGTTGTGGGTCCTTCTAGTTGTGGCATGTGGGATGCCGCCTCAGCATGGCCTGATGAGCGGTGCCATGTCCATGCCCAGGATCCGAACCGGCGAAACCCTGGGCCACTCAACCACGTGGCCGGCCCAATTGCCCATCATTCTTAAGGCCATAATAATAATAAGGATGGAGGGTATAACACTTGAAAGTTTCCTTCTTTAAAAAAGGTGGCTCCGGGGCCGGCCCAGTGGTGCAGTGGTTAAGTTTGCATGTTCCACTTTGGCAGCCCAGGGTCCGCCGGTTCGCCATGCCGTGGTAGGCTTCCCACATATGGGGTAGAGGAAGATGGGCATGGATGTTAGCTCAGGGCCAATCTTCCTCAAGCAAAAAGAAGAGGATTGGCAACAGATGTTAGCTCAGGGCCAATCTTCCTCACGCACACACACACACATACACATACACCACACACACAGAAAATTTACATAGGAGGATGTATCTGTCAATGGATCAGATAGGACATTTTTCTTTTCTAGGTACCCTGTTCTAAACATATAGGTTCCTGTGAAACCTAATGCATATTTGGAAAGTTTCTTGATTAATAGAGAATCTGAGCAATAGGAACTAGATGGTGTAAACTATACCATAAATGATAAAGACCTAATGGTTCATCTTTCTCCACCAGAAAGAAATTTCAGAATATTTATAATAGAAAATCTTTTCCTTGGCCAAATTCTGTAAACAGTAACAAATAGTCTCCATCTTACGTTTTTCTACATTCCATGTCGACCTACGTCTTATGATGATCATCTGTGTTGCAAAACATTCTCATCCTTACGGTTTCATGTTTCTACTTTGCTCTGGGGACATTTCCGTGAACTGTCTTCTGACTTTCTGGGACATCCTTCTGTGCAGACTCATGTCACCTGTAGTGTGGTAACTTCATAGGGCATCTGTTTTTGACTCTGTAAATTTGACCATTTACCTAATTTTTATTTCTGTGCTGCTTGGTGTCTGTCACATCCCAGTACCCAATGTAAGTTTAAATTCAGAAGAGGCAGTTTCAAACTTATAAATGGGGTGATATTTCAAAACTCCATTCATAAGTTGGTTATTTGGAATTCATCATTGTTCCATAGATTTGTATCGTGAATGATGATTAGCTCTCCAAACTAACAGACAAACATCCTTTTAATCTCTTTGCGTGGCTCAAATAGTACAGGGTATTAGTTTAAATTCTGCATCTAGGAACCAACCACCATGTCATGCAGGAGGGAGGAAGAAGCTCTTCCTTTTTCTCTGGGTTCTAGGTTAGCCCAAGGCAAATTTTTGAATTAGGTCAGATTGATCACTGGCATCTTTCTTTCCCCTTAATCTCCCAGTTTTCCTTGTCCTGAATTTCTAAGAGCTAGTATCCTTAGTTGTTTTGAGTCCTAGGATGCATAACACTATATCCAAGAAAAATCTACCCTGCGCAGAATGCTCTAGACTCCAAGATGACTTAAGTTCCCTATTACCCGTCACACCTGCCATTGACTCAAGGGAGGTGTCACATGTTAGGAGGAAAACAATCTAGTTGAATTACTTTATGTTGATATTGAGTGACTGAAAGCTCCTGAACACTGTCAGAGGCTTTTAAGTTTTTGAGAGATTTTTTTTCACACAAATTATCCCTGTGTGAACTTTAGAAAGTATAATAAAGGGAGTGAAAACACTCATGTCATGTGAGGATATAATTTGCTGTACCTGGGCTACATCCCAAGAACTTATCCAGTTATTTCCCAATCTCTAGTCCTCTCAACAGACTGTAGTTTTTAAAGTTCTTTTTTTCTATTTTTCTGCTTGTGAACCCCTAGTTTCTCTAAAAATGTTGTTTTATTTTATTTTTCCATCAGTGCAGCAGCAGCATCTAGGGAATTGCCAGTATGTAAAGGGGAACTGCCAGTGCCAATTTATTGATCATAAACTACTTGACAGAAAGAATGGGTGGGAGAAGGAAAGGAGGGCAGAAGCAAAGAAACTTAAGGCTGAGATTGAAAACCATTGACCAGCAACTGTGGAAGAACAGGCATTCTCACACAGTGTGAGTGGGAGTGCAAAATGGAACAGCCACTATGGAGGATAATTTAGTAATGTCTGTCAAACTTTTCATGCAGCAATCCTGCTTCTTGGAATTTATCCTATTGCTAAATTGTAGGTACACAGAGAAAAACGTGTAAAGTCATTGCTTGCAACATTGTTTGTAAAAGATTGGAAACAACCATAATATACGTCAATAGGGAACTGGTGGAATAAGTTATAGTACAGCCATACAACAGAATATTATTCAACTGTTAAAAAGGAATGAGGCAAATTTATACATACTGATGTGTAACAGCCTATAAGATACACTGTTAAGTGGAAAAAAAGCAGTGTACAGAACAGTGTGTATTGTATGCTAACATTTATGTTTTTAAAATATATACACCTATACGTGCTGAGCGTAGGAAGGAAATTGAATAAGTCAGTAATAGTGGTTCCTTCAGGGATAGAGAGCTGGAGGACTGAGAGATCAGAGTAGGAGGGAGACTGACTTTTTACCATGTATCTGTGCTATTTGAATATTTTACTATGTGCGTTCAAAATAAATAAAATTCAAATAACCATTATCCAAAGAACACCCATCAGAAACCGAGATCATTTGAAAATCACAGCATGTCAGGACTAAAAGGGCCCTTGGAGATTAGAAAACTGAGTCTCAGAGAGGACATAGATTGCCAAAAGGAGACAATAATCCGTTTCCTTGAGGCTTTAGCTGCTACTGAGTTCCACTCCACTCAAAGATGTCAACTAAAAGTCAGTGTCTACCTGACTTTCTCCAGTCTCACCTTTGCCTGTTAGAAGGGATCCAGTCTGAAACTTGGATGTAAGGGTTAGATGACAGCTTAGGGAGGCAGTGCTGTTTCTGTAGGGAGCAGCAGTGACTCTCAGGTTCTTCAGAGTATGCTTGACCTTTGACCTTTTCTCCAGATATACAAGGTTGACTTTTACTTTGCTCCCAGAGCCAAGGCAGTGGAGGGTAGCCACAGTCTGATTTTGGATGAATTTGGACCTTTTGGCTTCTGCCTGAACTTCTAGAAGAAAAGCCAGGCAGAAAAATGAAACTAGTTCTTAATCTAAATGGTGCCCAGCTAAACCACTTCCCTTCATGACCCCAGTTAAACTCCACTGCTGTACTTTCTTCTCTCTCTCTCTCTTTTTTTTTTTTTTTTAAAGATTTTCTTTTTCCTTTTTCTCCCCAATGCCCCCCGGAACATAGTTGTGTATTCTAGTTGTAGGCCCTTCTAGTTGTGGCATATGGGACGCTGCCCCAGTGTGGCCTAATGAGCGGTGCCATGTCTGCGTCCAGGATCGGAAACAGCGAAACCCTGGGCCGCTGAAACGGAGTATGTGAACTTAACCACTCAGCCACGGGACCGGCCTCCTTTCTTCTCTTTTTAGTTTACTTCTTCCTCAGCATGTGCTTATGGTATAAATATACAAGCCCTGCCTTTCCTCTCTCCTGCCTTGGGTCCCATGAAGCTAGGTGACTGCAGTAAATTCAGCCCAGGGAAATGTTCATAGATTATTTTCTCTAATGCAGAGAGGGTTGAGTGCTGCCTCCTTCTCTTTCTTCACCCCCATCTGTTTGATTTATGTGGCCATGCCTTAGGTAATAACAGTTAATTTAAAAATTGGTTTCCAGAAAGCCTCTTGGAGGGATACATATCTTTAAAATAGGATATTTGAGATCTGGGCAAGGAATAGGGGAGACAGGCCTCTTTCAGAGGTAAAAATGTTCTGAAATGGCAAAGTGATTTTTCAGAAAGGGGCTGTTCCCTGCGTTGCATTAGTGCATCCCTGATCCTTCTCACATTCTTTGGGAAGAGGCTTGGCAACTGCTGTCTCTGAGTTCTGGGAAAAAAAAATGGTTAAGATTTACTGGGTAAAACTTACTCTTTAGAATTCTGGGCACTGGAGAGGGAGATATAAAAGAATGCAGTTCCTTCTCATAAAACTTGCAGTTGGAGAGATCAAACACTCCCCTCAAAAAGACTTTAAAATATAGGTAAGTAGGAGTTAGCCTAGTATAAAGAAAACTGAGGACCAGTCTGTTACTCTTAGGGGAAAAAAAGGTGAAATAGAGTTTAGTGAACTTAACTAAGTTAATGAAAGACTAACCAACCTATTCCTTCAAACACTGCTTATTATCTCTTCTCCTTCCTGTTCTATCTACTTTCTTGTATTAAAACTCTTGAAAGTTTGTTAGATGTAACCTTGGACGAGATATCTCTCTAGGTTTCCAAGAAACCGTAGGTCATAGTTGTTTATGCTTTTTAGCACATAACTCACAGGGTGTTGTGAATTTTCTTCATTTGTTGGATTTATTACTGCTGCACTTTATACTGTTTGGCCTTAGCTCTGTTGAGCTAATTTTAGAGATAAAATATTTAGGACGTTTTGAACAATCATGTTTTAAATAAACAGTTATCAAAGAGCAGCAAATAGTGCCATTCCACCCATTCCCTCAGCTCTCCCCACCCAAGAGCATCCCCATCTATTTGGATGTAACACCTTAAAAAAGGAAGACAACGTCTTCTGAGGGATTATGAATTTGGGAGTCCTAGGTGATGACAGTACTGAAATTGTGACAGCACCCTCCAAGAAAGAAAGCCATCTAACGGTGAACGGACTTTCAATGCTAGTTACGTGAACAAGACAGAAGAATGCATCACATTCTCTCAAGACTTCTTGCCATGAAACAGACAGCTATCTCTCTGGGTTGGGTAAGTCACAGTCCTGCTTAGAGGCTAGAGGATATGTGGGATCACTGGAAAGCATCACCTACTGAGTATTGGCTGTATATATCTCTACCCTGGGGAATAGACCCCCAGACACTTTATAGGCCTCTCTTTGGATTTTCCAGGATATTAGGCTAGAGAAGTACTTACCTTTCTTGTTGGCATCGTAGGATGTAATGATTGAGCTGAAAACTAAGATGGTATCCATGTTAGCTTGAGCACATGCTCCTTGCAGAGAGAGTATGCTGCTAATTTGTCACACTCTCTTATAGCCTTGTCTCTAGGTGCTTTCACTGCCCTAGAACCAAGTTTGACCCTGGGAGAGTCTGGTTGCACCCTAATTATTTTGCCCCATTTCCTGAAGACCCAGGAATAGAGCTAATTGGAGAGAAAACCAAGTCTGCTTGCTAATGATTGACTCAGAAGGTCTTCCCCTGACTTCACTGCTAGTGCCGATATAAGCAACTGTAATTGCCTTCAGGTTTCCCTAGAAGAACGGCCAGGAATACCCAGTGGTATGCTTTACAAATACTTCCAGATAGACATGTAGACATATGCATGCATGGTCATTGACATGAGCACATAGATTTACACGCTGACATAAAGAGATGTAGAGATTTCTATTAAGGAAAATGATTTCTAGAATAGAGAAGGAAACTAGGACTGAATGAGTCAGTGAGTTACACTGGAGAGAGCGCTGGACTAGGAATCAATAGAATTGAGTTCCAATCCAGGCCCTGTTATTAACTATATCACCTTGAGAAAATTGGCAGACTTCTCCAGATCTCAATTTTCTCCTGTATAAATGGAGAATTCTGATCAAATGACCACTAGAATTCATTTACAGTTATGCACATAACCTCACATTAGCCCAGACATACTATCTAGTTTTGCACATTTTCACACTTCTGAATAGTGAGATGGGTATAGGTAGACCATATTCCCATGAATATTGGGCTTAGAGGTTGTGAGAAAGAGCTAAATACTCCAGATGAGTGATACTATCTGCAGTTTAGACTATCTGTCTAGTTTTCCTAGACAGATAACTGTTGTTGAAGATTTTTCTAAAATTGTATCTTTTAGTGAAGAGTATAAATATAGCATATACTCTGTAGACTTTGTGATAGCATAGCTAGGTGGATCATAAAGCAGAAATGAAGATCTTCTCAGATCCCCTGCCCCAGTCCTGAGCCTCTGCAGTCTTTCTACTCCCTTAAATGTACTCCATTGGAGCCAACATAGGTTTGACTATGCTTATGAAGGCTCTAGAGGCTGACACTTGATTGATAATGATGTAAAGGGAGCTTGATTCAATGGACTTCACATGAGGGAGTTCATGAGCTCTGAGTCAAATCATAATTTAAATATTACCCTGTTTCCTGACATTTTAATTTAGGTTGAAATATGATTGAGCTAAATTGAGCATTGAGGAAAATCTCGGTAGGGAAACGGAGAGCAAAAAGATGACACTGAAGGACACCATGTTGCCTGAAACATGGAAGGAGGAGAGGAAGTGCTGAACTTCCAGCCACAGTGACTTTCATTCAACACGTATTTATTGTAGGCCTACTTTGTGCCAGACACTATTCAAGCAGGGAGCAAGACCAAGTTTATGTTCACATGAAACAATGGGAAGCAGACAATACACAAGGTTGAAAAATAGACTAGTGCAGAAGGCTAATAATAAACAATCTATAAATACATATACAAGATCATTAAAGATTGTGATGGTTGTTGTGAAGCAACAAACAGGGCGATGAGGTGAAGGATTACTGGCAGAGGCCACTTTAAGTAGGGTGCTCAGAGAAGACTTCTCTGAGGAGGTGACATCTGAGCTAAGAAAACCATGAGAGTGGATGTCATTGAAGCCAAGAAGGAGAGATTTCAAGGAAGGAATGGTCAGTTGGTTAAATGCTGAGAGGGGTGTGTAATGAGGACAGAATGTCCACCGGATTTGACGGTTTTGTAAGAGCAGTTCTAGCAGAGTGGTGAAAGTAGGAGAGGGCCGAGAGAGAGTTGGAGGTGAAGAAGTATAGATCATCTTTTCAAGAGCTTTTGCTATGGAAGGTAGCAGAGAAGTGAGGTCAACTGAGTAGAGGGAACATGAGTGCCTCAGATGTTTACTGGTCCAGAGCATCACTGTCTCGTTCTTTTTTCTCTTCTGCAGTTGCCCAATTCTCTTAGCAGGGCAGGTGGGTAGGGCAGAATAAAGGAGCTCCATTGCCTTTCGTGGGTTTCATGGTTTTTGCTTATGAGTTTCTTAACAGCTCCCTTATGGTATCAGACACTTCCCCCCTGTTGCTGTATTTGAAATTTTCTGTAGGTTAGTTCCTAGATGCCAGGTTATAGTGCTGTCCCCTTGGGGTAGGGATGGGAAAGGATCTGACGGCCTGCTATTCTCATTCTATGTCACAAGGTGGCAGAAGAGCTCACTCCTCCTGAGAGAGCCTTTGTGCTTGAACAGAGAGAGAGAAAGTGGAAGAGTTTTCTTTTATGGACTCTCAGACCCTTCCCTTTTTCTTTGTGTCTCAGAGGCCCAAAAGTCAGCCTGCTTGTTGGAGCAGCCATACTGTGGGGTACAGAGAAGTGGGAGAGTTGCATTAATGAGTCAAGATATCTAGTAGCAGAGAAATAGGACCCAGAACTGTTTCTCTACTACTAAATATTTTGACTGGTTTTCTAAGTGTTTGGAGTATCTGTGGAGGAGAGGATATCTCTCCTGATCTCCTTTCCCCACAACAAAAATTTCAAATTTAGGAGGAAAAAAGCTATAATATAGGTGAGTTTTATGATGTGTGCAGATGAGAGATGTGACTCTGGAGGATAATAGGAAACTATGACTGACGGATGCATCAGGGTGGGTCTATGAGAGGAACACTTGACAAGAAGCGGAGGGGCTTACCTAGGTTCTGGATTAGACTCTGTAACTGACTGAATTACTTTGAGTAAGTCACTTAACTTCTCTGGCCTCTGTTTTGGTTTTTTTGATGAGATGGTTGGACAAGATGGTTTCAAAGGCCTCTTCCAACTCTAAAATTATTATTTCAATGCCACACTCTGCTACTGTTTTGTTTAAGGGTGTATGCTTTTTATTCGTTTGGATTTATTTTAAATTCTTTTATTGTGGAATATAGCATACATGTAGGAGTATATGGACCATAAGTATATTTTCAGTAATAATAATAAGAGCAACAATAATAATAATAATGTGAATACCATGTAGCCATCACCCAAAGTAAGAAATGGAACATTGCCAGTGTCTTAGAAGCACTCTATATGTCTGTTCCTCTGATCACACTCCTTTCCTTCCTCTTAATCATTATTTTCCCATGCTTTTTAAAAATAGTGAACTATCTATATATGTATCATGAAAAATATTTTTTAAAATTTTGCCTGCTTTTGAACTCAGGTAAATGGATGGGTCATACCCTGTGTATTTTAAAGTAAATTTATTATTATGTATAACACGAAGTGGATACACCTCCCTTCATGTCCTCTCCCAGTCACTGCCCACCATCAGGAGTAACTATTATCCGGATTTTTACCACCACCGATGAGTTTTGCCTATTTTTGAACTTTGTATAACAGGAAACACACTGTTTTGTGTCTGGCATTTTTAATCCACATTGTGTCTGTAAAATTCATCTATATTGTTTTCTGTAGCAATAGTTGGTTCGTTCTCATTGCTTTTTAATATTCCATTGTATGAGTGTACCGTAATTTATTTATCCATTCTAATACTGAGAGACAATGGGTTGTTTCCAGTTTTGGGCCATAATGAACAATGTTCTTGGGGGCACATTTGAGAGTTTCTCCAGAGTATAAATCCAGAAATGGAAGCTGAGTTATAGGTTATGCAGTGTAAGTTCAACTTTACTAAGTAATGCCCAGCTGCTGTCATAACAGGTTGTCTCCATTTACACTCCCATCTGTAGTATATGAAAGTTGCCAAAGGGGCCAAAGAGCCTTTTCAGTGTGGCACAACTAGGGGACTGAGCAGGGCCAGGCATATCTTCACAGTGCCAACTCCTTGGTTGGTTCTCAGCAGCTCAGGCCACAGTCACTCCTCCTGTTTACTTGCTCCGTCCAAGTAAGGGTAAAGGATTCAAATTATCCCTGGGTCATGTGCTCTATTGCTCTGGGAATATTGGCCCCGGGGTGGGGTAGACTGGTAAATTTAATAACATCATACCTGAATCAAGTGAGCATCCACAGGATATTTTGTACTTGTACTGAACACTAGGAGGAAATGGAGGCATAGAGAGAAAGGGGGAAGAAATATTTTCAGTGTACCTACTATGTTCCAAACCTTGTGTTAGAAACTTTACATCTTGGTTATAACATTTAATCCAAAACACAACCTTACAAGGTAGGTATTATTTCTCTGTTTTAGACAAGGAAACTGAGGCTCAGAAATGGGGTCATTTGCTCAAGGTCACAGTGCTAATTAGTAACAGAGTTAGGATTTAAAGCCTAGTCTGTCTGATTAAAGAGCTCAAACTCTTTTCATTACAGAACACAGAGAAGGCACGTCCCTGCTGCTCTTGAGGTATCTTTGGCTTAGACTTCAATACCAGAAATCAGTTCTTCTCACCTATATTCACTCCCAAAACTAGGCTATTCCATTGATTATGGCCATCTCGTTCACTGATTTAAACCACATTTTATTTTCATTCATTTTTGGTTTCCTTTATCTTTCTTTCTAACTTTTGTTTTCATTAAGAAAATTGGGCCCCTCATCACAGCGTGTCCACTGTGGGGAGACAGCTTTCTACCTGCTGCTCTGGTATGTTAACCAGAGGAGAGATTAAAAAAACACAGGGATATTGTGAAATCTTTTGATCCAAGTTATGATACAGGAAAACTTTTTTTTTTCCAAAGATTTTATTTTTTTCCTTTTTCTCCCCAAAGCCCCCCGGTATATAGTTGTATATTCTTCGTTGTGGGTCCTTCTAGTTGTGACATGTGGGGCGCTGCCTCAGCGTGGTTTGATGAGCAGTCCCAAGTCCATGCCCACGATTTGAACCAACGAAACACTGGGCCACCTGCAGCGGAGTGCGCGAACTTAACCGCTCGGCCACGGAGCCAGCCCCAATACAGGAAAACTTTTAAACTGAAAGAATGAAAAGGATAAAAGGAAGTTGAGCAATGGCTCAAGTTAAAGCTCTATAAAAATTATTAATGTTGTATTTTATTATTTATTATGCTTCATATATAATAATAACAGTGGAAAGTGAAGGTATTTTTTGGGGTAGACAGGTAGAGGCCTAAATATGTAGCAGAAAAAATCTGAGTCTGATACAGGAGTAATGGAGGCAGTGGAGAAGTCTGAAGAGAAGGGGGGAGGGGGTTAGAAGTAAACTCACCAGGAGTGCTTTCATGGGTTTCAGGAGACTGAGGTCAGAGATGAGAAGGTTGTAAAGCTGATCAATATAAAATGTCAGAATCCCAGGAGTGAGCAAGACCTAAACAAGTCATCTTGTCCATTTCCCTGCCTTTAGGTAAAAAGGCCTTTAAACTCTTTCCAGGTATTTAGTTGTGAAGTGTGTAGGACTTAGAAAGATATATATATATATATATATATATATATATATATTTTTTTTTTTTTTTTTTAATGAGGAAGATTTGCTCTGAACTAACATCTGTTGCCAATCTTCCTCTTTTTCTGCTTGAGGAAGATTAGCCCTGAGCTAAATCTGTGCCAGTCTTCCTCTGTTTTGTCTGTGGGTCGCTACCACAGTGTGGCTGACCAGTGGTGTAGGTCCACGCCCAGGATCCAAACCCGTGAACCTGAGCTGCTGAAGTGGAGTGCACTGGGCTTATCCACTACGCCACAGGGCTGGCCCCTAGAAAGAGATTTTTTTAAAAAATATAGTGGAGCTGTCACAGAAGAAGCAGCTAAGATTTGGTGACTGCCAAATATAGATAGCATAGATAGGTACTGGAAGTGTTTGGGAGTGGATAAGGAGGGAGGGAGAGCTGAAATGCTTTGTGAAAACCCAAGTACCCATGTGAAGACCTGGATGTCCATGTGAAAACATCGTGGTAAGTGAGTCTCCACTATGAACACTGCCCTTCATGGTGCAATCATACCTTTCATCATCAGGACCAGACTTATAAAGTGGCCTTTCTGAGGGCATCTTCTGACCTTATGATGTGAAACTCCTTCAGGCTCTTAACTCTAGACAAACCTGAGAAGTTGACCAGAGCAAAGGAACATGTTGTTCAGATAAGGCCATTATGTCTTCTTTTTCTCTTCTTCATGACTGGAGCCACAATTCTGGTCAAGGCACTGACTTTCTTGAGGAAGTCTGTCCATCTATAAAGCAGCTAAGTATCCTACTAGAGGCTTTGCCTCCCAGAGGTGATGTGAAGACAGATAAGCAGACATCAGGAGTAGAGTGGCCTCTCAGGTACGGAGATAATCTTTACTTTGGTCAATGAAGCACTTACTAATATCTGTACCTAGCCCTACTCTAAGAGCCATAGAGGGGAGTACCAGACTATAAGAAATGCTCTCTGCATGTAAGATTATTAAAATTTAGCTGGAGAGCTAAAACCAACATACACACAAAAAATTATAGCCTGATAAATGCTGAACTGTGTGGTGGGGACCAGATTGCTGCAAGAATTCGAAGAAGAGATAGATCAGTAGAAGCTGGAGAAGAGATCTTCCTAGAGAAAATGGGACTTCCAAGGACTAGAAAGATTCAGAAAATTAGGAGGGAGGAAGGAGCAGTTTACCAGCATAAGCAGATGTAAGAATAAGCATGGCAAGAGCTAGAAGCCAAATTAGAGTCTATGTTATATATTGGGGACCAGTGGGAAATAACATCCCAGTATTTCTTCTATCCTCTATCCTAAAGCTGGATCACTGACCTTGCTGCTTAAGGAATCTGGAACCATGGCCAGACAGCCGCCAGGACAGGGGGCTTTTCATGGTTCCATTTTCTATTACGGCACTTTCTTTCCTCCCTTGGTTCAACTCTAGCCTTACCTGATAAAGACTTTCCTGTCCTGGAAATGCAGGTGTAGGAGGCGTTGCTGTTTAACAGAGGCACTGGCAGCAGAGGGGAAAAATAAGGATAAATACTAAACTGTTGTTCTCAAACTTGAGAGTGAATAATTACTGCCTAAAAAAAAGTCTGCAGTGGGGCTGGGAATCTGCATTTTTAACAAGCACCTAGTGATTATGTTTCAGATGGTCAGTGGAACATACTTTGAGAAACACTGCCATAAACTAAAGTAAAATTGACAATAAAGGGCCAAAATGGCCTGGATGTTGACACAGATACTATTTATGTATTCCTGGGCTTATTCATTTTTAAGAATTTATCTTCTCCCATCTATGGCTCTTATAAAATTCATGTGGCTGTTATCTAAGGAGCAAGATGTAGACACTCTGTTTTGCTGTTTAGTTTTGTCTTCCCAATAGATTATAATCATCTGAAAGACAAGGACCCCTCAGACTTCTCTTACTTTCCCCACATTGGGGTGAGAGACCATCTTTAAGGTTGGAAGGTAGCTGGAATGCTCAGGATAAATCCCTGATACCTATTTTTTTTTAAAGATTGGCACCTGAGCTAACAACTGTTGCCAATCTTGTTTCTTTTCTTTTCTTTTCTTCTTCTTCTCCTCAAAGCCCCCCAGTACATAGTAGTATATCCTAGTTGTAGGTCCTTCTAGTTGTGCTATGCGGGACACCAACTCAGCATGGCTTGATGAGCGGTGCCATGTCTGTGCCCAGGACCCAAACCAGTGAAACCCTAGGCTGTCAAAGCAGAGCGCAGGAACTTAACCACTTGGCCACAGGGCTGGCCCCTCCCTGATACCTTTAGACAACCATTTGATATTTGGGACCTTGTATTAATTTTCTAGGGCTGCCATAATAAAGTACCATAGACTGGGTGGCTTAAACAACAGAAATTTATTTCTTCATAGTTTTGGAGGCTGTAAATCCAAGATCAAGTTGTCACCAATGTAGGTTTCTTCTGAGGCTTATCTCTTTGGCTTGTAGTTGGCCATCTTCTCTAGCATAAGAGCCACAATTTTGCTAAAGTGCTTCATCAGTTGTAATTCACAGATGGTCTTCCCTCTGTGTGTGTCTGTGTCCCAATCTCCTTACAAGAACACCAGTCATTTGGATTTAGGGCCTACTGTGATGATCTAATTTTAACTTAATTTCCTGTTTAAAGATCCTATCTCCAAATGTACTCACATTCTCAGGTACTGGGGGTTAGGACTTCAACATATGAATTTTGGAACACAATTCAGCCCATTACAGCCATCTAATTTCAGCTTTTAGGAATGTGCCACTCACTCCTTCTCTTCCACTTGTTAGTCTTATATAGTAAGTTCTCTCCACTCTTTGGCTCTCCTCCACTGCTTCTTACAGACATAATGGTTTGTGTGGCAAGAACTCAAGGAACAGCTCTAAAAAGCCTATAGCAGAGATGGGCAGGTTGCGGCATGCACCAAACACCACCACACTTAGGAGTTGTTGAAATTCCAGGTGTATTGTCTTAAAGACACAGCTTTCTGCCCATTCTCTGCCCAGTTATCTTAACATTTGATAATAATAATTAGATTATTAGATGCTATGTAAGTGGTTTTGGTGTATCCTAACTCATCCTTCATTTTCTTTCACTGTACCTCTTGCATTAGGCCTTTCCTTGGCTAGTTCTTTAGAAAGCTTCATTCCTTCAAATATTCAGTCAGGTCAAAAGCAGGACATGTGGGGCCAGCCTGTTGGCATAGTGGTTAAGTTTGTGCACTCTGCTTTGAAAGCCTCGGGTTTGCAGATTCGGATCCTGGGTGTGGACCTACACACTGCTCATCAAGCCAAGCTGTGGTGGTGTCCCACATACAAAATAGAGGAAGACCAGTACAGATGTTAGCTCAGGGCCAATCTTCCTCACCAGAAAAAAAAAAAAAAAAAGCAGGACCTGTAAGGGCTTACTGAAGTTTCACATATCGACACTTTTTGAGGGTAAGCTCCTGGTTTTGCAGTGCTCCTAAGGCTGATAAAGAGCAACACCACTAAGAAAGAATCTTGGGGCCAGAGTTCTTATTAGAGTTCTTAGTAGTTAATAAGAACTAGAAAAGATAGACGAAAAATAAGAGACAACCTCAAGATATTTAGTTCTTTCCAAAGTTTCCTTCATGCCAGCTTTAGAGAGCACTATTAGGGAGAAGCAAAGCTTTCTTCTTCCTAGGCCTTTTTTTTTTTCAGTCAGTCAGGTCAAATATCCTGTTAAACCAGGAAGTCATGCTCAATTATGTCTAAGTTCTGATTTTCCTATCTTTATTCAACTGACAGATGCATCTGACAGGCAAAGTTATTGGGAAATATGGGTCACTGCTCTGTAAAGTCTACATCTTCAGTCCCTATTATTTTAAAGTGGGCTGGTAAACTCTTAGAGAAGCCACCACCTGGTGGTATTAGGAGGGCTCGTAGATGAATATTGTTCCTTGTTGACCAATCTTCTTATCTTCCTGCCTCCACTTCCACCCAAGAACTTCAGACCTCAGGTGTGTATTTCTACCCTGTTCACTTTTTGCCCTCTGGCATAGAACTTTTTCCTACCAAATTGTCATCCGTATTGTCATCCTTACACAGCACAAGCTTGTGTGAGGATCAGAAAAGTACTGTGGGTGCTCCATTAAATTCTTGGAAGGGGTTAAACTCACCCCATTCTTCTGATGTGCAATTTTCTCCGATTTTCTTTCTCTCCTGCCCAATAGTTGTATTTATATGTTGGGATTCTTTCTAGTTACTATTGATTTTCAACACAGCCACGATGAAAGTCTTGTTATGAAATAATTTGTAAAACTAGAGAAATTGGTTGGCTTCTTCTCAAAGGCTTGGTGTAACCAAGTGGAGGTTGGGAAGCACACTCCGATCCCATAAGTCAGGAATTTAC